AGGACCTGCCTTTTTTTCTCATGCATACATACACACACACACACACACACACACACCGTTTTGGGGGTGAAAATTATTCATGGACTATGGTTTCCATGGGTGCAACAGAATGAAGAATAAAATTTACACTGTAGATTTAAAAAAAAGTAATATTTAAATATAGGAAAATATTCCCTTTGTCATCACATTTTATTTGAGATGATCTTGTATGAATATTTGATGGGTGGCATCTTCCAATTATAGTAAGGTGACGGGTAAGTGGCGGTTTTCTAAACAGGCGCAGAGTCACTGCGTCTTAGCTTCTGGATGTCCCTGGGCGGCACAGCTGCCTGAGCAATAGTATAGTTTTCAGGATTCCTGAGCTCAGCCTCTTTCAGTGTTTGACAGTCGTTACAGGTTCGGCCAAGGCCAGCCGGTGTACCCTGTGAGTAGTGCCTGTTGGTTTGGGGGGCTGGGGCAGGGGGCAGCCCCTCCCACACCTGCAGGTCACCCGGTGCCTGAAGACCTGGTGCCACTGGGGGTCCCAGGTCTCCGCTGCCCCCGGCCGGGGCCCTGGCTGAGCCCTTAGCTCAGGGTGGGCAGCTTCCTACAGAGCCCCCCGGCTCCCCTGGCCAGTCCTCTTCGTTAAGCAGCTGTGATCCAGAAATGTTTTAGCCATCAATTTTCTGCAGTTAAATGTTGCCCTAAGAGGTAAAACCTAGTTGCAGTTCTGGTCAGTTGGGCTAGAAAGGCTGTGAGATGCGCAGACAGGGAGGCTGCCTCCAGTTTGCAGAATGTGGAGAGGCAGTGTGGACCCGGAGTCAGTATCAGTTCCTAGGAACGCCTGCCTCAGTTTCCTCACGTGGGATGTTGGTAATGTTGACCGTGCATGTGAGACGCCTAGGCGGCAGGCCAGCAGCAATGAACAGACTCCTTTCACCATGGCAGCTGCCCTTCTCGGGAAGGCGGCGTGGCTGACCGCTGAGCACCCGCATCAGAGCGGCACGGCAGGAACGGGCCTGCCCTCCGGCTTCATGGCCCCGGACCCAGCGGCAGCTCACTTGGGGCTGCTCCAGGCTGTCGGTGGCCGGTGGGGGCTTCGGTCAGCCTGTGGGGGGTCCTTCTCCGCCTGCAGGCCCGGGGCCGGGACCCAGCGATGTGCAGCTCTGCACAGCGGTGCTTTCTGCTGTGCGTGGCCCGGTTTGCTCCACGCAAACCGCAGTGCACAGGCAGACGCGGTGGCCTGGCCAGTCAGTCCCACTCAACCAGCCCAGATGCGTGAGTTCGGGCTCAGGGACCGTGAAAGAACAGAGTAGGAAGCCTAAGTCCTTTCTCCTGGCACCCCAGGGCCACGCTGACTCCCTGCACAGCCAGAAAGAATCAGATTGTAAAACTGAGACTCATTTCTAAGCCAGAATGATTTAGAGCCAGGGCAGAACCTTCCAAGATTGAAGGGAAATTCTCACTTAAAAATAAGTATATGAAAAACAAGTTAACAGCTATAATGCCAATAGCCAAGTTCTTCTAGCAAAGAGGAGCACGAGATCTGGTTTCTGTTCTTCCCTCTGTTGCGAGGGCCCAGTGAACATCACACTGCTGCGGCCAGATGGTGAGTCTTGAGTGCCTAGTGTAGACCTGGCAGTGTGCAGGACGAAGCACGGCACCAGCTCCACAGGGCCCCTGCCTCTGAGACGTCATTGCCCCCCCTGGAGGGGACAGATGGTGAAAGGGAAACTGAGGCATCACTGTGGAGCTGAGCACAGTAGAACCTGTGTACACAGAAGCGGGGTCCAGCTGCCAAGGGCAGGCCTGGTAGGGGGTGGCTAGGATACAGACAGGGGGGCAGGCCACGGTGGCCTCATCGAGATGACGGAGGCACAGGCGCAAGGGGTGGGGCACCCGTGAGGGGACGGAGAGCGGCAGGAAGCAGGCAGACGAGAATGAGGAGCGGGGACCACGGGGGCCTTGTGTGGGCATCTCAGCAGCCATGTGTCCAGGGCGTCCAGGAGGGAAGCCGAAGTGCCTGGGCTTAGCCACGAGGGCGGAGCAGGAAGACGGCGGCTGCAGTCAGTCTGGTAAGAAACCATCGTCAGGGAGGGTCCACGGGACTGCTGGGGTTGGAGCAGGTGGGGGCAGCAGATGACCTGCAGGGACGGGGCCACTGTGACCTTCAGAGCGGCCTTCCTCGGTCATGACATCTGTGAGTTGCTGTCAGTAGTGAAATGCACCCCAGACCCCCACCCTGTTCGGTGGGTGTCTCTGCAGTGCGTGGCATCTCCTCTGATGTTCTGGGAACATCCATTCCCAGGGATGTACCGGGAAGCTGACCCGTGATTTCCCCACCTCCACCTCAGAGCAGCACATTCCCACCTAAGGTTTCTGGGGGTCATTCTAGCAATTAGATTGAGGCCAGGTTTCTTAAGTTTCCTTGCAAATGCCTGTGGAATTGGAGCAGTGACAGAGAGTCTGGTTAGGGCCTGCTCACACAGCATCGGGTCCTTGCCCCTCAAACTGAGGGCCAAGCGTTCTGCTCACAGTTGTAGATTAAATGACTCTCAGCCCTGGGCTTTAATCTGAGTAAAGCTGATAGCAATTGACAAATGAAAACTGCACTTGCCCTCACAAAGGTGCTCCACACCCAGAAACCAGCTTCTCCCGAAGTCCTCGTGTGCAGGGGAAGCTACTCACAGGACACAGAAGCCTTCTCGGGGCCTCACAAACAACTACATTCAGGCACACAAGGCCCAACTGTTGTAAAAATATTAGTATTCACATGCGCCTGTGTTTTCTTAATGCATTTAATTACGCACAATATAGCCCTTGTTTGCCTTTCACATTTGCATTAATTTATATTAGCTGCAGAATACAAACCCCAACTTGAAAATCAGGCCTGTAAATCGGCATTGCATCCCTGCAAAGAGCCACGGCTCTCCTGGCTTCAGCATTCTTCAGGTTGCTGCGATGCCACAAGGCATTTCACAGAGATATTACACCTATTAGTGATGGCATGAAATTGAATCTAATCTGTGAAATTCTCTGCCACAGCCCATGTGAGAGCATGTAGCATGGCTGCATCAGGCACCCAGACAAGCACACGCACTCCTAGGAGCCTGGATGTGGTCACGGTGGCCTGGGTGCCTTGGACTCTGTCACCGGCACTCATCATCTACGTTGGGAATGAGTTACCCTGCTTTCGAAACATGGGTCAGATCTGCACTGCCTGATGGGGGTCACCCGTGGGACTGTCTCTTGATCCCTGTGATTTTGTGGGGGAGTCTGTGTGAAATCATTTACCTTCTGTTACTTACATACTGTTGGACATACTTACATACTGTGCTGTAGACATGAAAACGTCCACAAGTACATATAACAGAAGGAAAATGTCCTCTGCCTCCCGTCGTCCCCTGCCAGCCACCCTGGGCCGAGGGAGCACCCCTCCCGTCCACCTTCCTCTCTGCAGAAGCACACCCACCCCGCCCCAGCCTCGCTTTATCCCGATGTCCCGCAGGGGGCCTTCCCAAGCCCCTTTTCCTGCTCTGATTCTTTCATTTCATTATCTGATATGAAATTATACATTGTGTCCCATTTCCTAGGGCTGCCCCAACAAATTACCACATTACCACACACCGTGTGATTTAGTACAACAGGAATCTCTTCTTTCCCTTCTGGAGGCCAGGGGTTTGGACTCAAGGTAGGAGCTGGGCCACACCCTGGGCCCCGGGGGAGGGCCTCTTCCGTGTCTCTTAACTTCCGTGGCCCGGCAGCCGTGGGTCCCTGACCCCACATCCCCATGGTCCCACCATCACATGGCCTCCTCCCTGTGTCTGTGGGTCTGGACCCAAATCCGCCTCTTTTCAGAACTTTGGATTAGGCCCACTCTACCTTGAGTAGGACCTCATCATACCTTGATTATACCTACAAATGACCCTATTTCCAAATAAGGTCACATTCATAGGTAGTGGGGGGTTAGTAAGCAGGGATGCTATTGACCCTGAACACTCATTATCATCTTTGTTCATGAGACGAGGCCGTGCTGACGTTCACTGCAACCCGAACTGCCAGCTCAGGTCCATATTCCTCAGGTACCCAGTCGGTGGCGGGTGGCGGGTGGTGGGTGGGTGGGTGGGTGAGCGGGCCGGGGGCTGGCTGGCTGGCGCTGTTCGGTAAATGTCAGTGAACAGGTGGTTGAGTGGTTGAGTGGGTGGCATTACAGGAAAGTGGTGAGTAAACCCACATTTCTTGTAGGTAGGTAAGTTTGGAAAGGAGACACACTCACTGCCATCCACTTTAACCTAACTTGTAAGTTGAGAGCAAAGGGGATGTATCACTTTTCTGGAGAGAAATGCTGTCTTTAAAAAAAAAAAAAAAGCTGAGAGATTATTACACAAGATGAAATGCTGTGTTCCCACCTCCAGCAGTCTAACCGTTGCTGCTTACAGAGGAGAAGCCGAATCAGAATGTCCTGAGTAAGCAGCTCTCTAATGCCGGAGGCCTCTTGTGGAATCTGGGAACTAAAGAATTCGAAATGCCCCACTTATTTAAGGCATGAATTACAAAAAGATGTGGGAAGTGCCATTTTTACCAAGAGCACTAAAAATACCTTTTGTCAAATGCTCCCAACACGATTAGCTTATGCACCCGTGGATAACAGATGTCCCGTAAAGGTTCGTACGGTCCTGATTCTCTGCATGCAGTAGTGGCAGCCCCCAGGGGAGATCTGGGCGCCATGGCTGCTTGCTCAGGCCTCCTGAGCAGAAGCCCCGATGCCCTGCATGTAGGGCACCAAATCTTGAGCAATGAGGGCAACTCCAGGGCCCCGGAGACATGGAACGCCAACCAGGATGCTCGGTCCAGGCTGGTCTCCGCCAAAGGCGCTCTGGGGCTGCCATGTAGTTTGACGGCACCGCCCACGTTCCGGGGGTTTCGCAGGAGGCGGCCAGTCCGCGGGCCCCGGAAGAAAGCGGCATTGTGCGGGGCTCTGCTTTGCACAGCCCGCATTCACGTCTCACTGTTGTTTGCAGGAGAAGCAGATGTGAGCCCGAACAATGGGAGCCGCTCTCAGGGCACAGCGGTGACAGACTCCAAGTGCACAGTGGGCCCAAAGAACGCCTGGCCGGACGCCAACCCAGCTGACCCCGGGGGCCGCCCCCACTTGGTCCGCCTCTTCTCCCGAGATGCCCCGGGCAGGGAGGACAACACCTTCAAAGACAGGCCCTCGGAGTCAGACGAACTCCAGACCATCCAAGAAGACAGTGCAGCCCCTGCCGAGGGCCTGGATGCAATGGCGTCACAGAAGAGACCCTCCCAGAGGCACGGGTCAAAGTACCTGGCCTCCGCCAGCGCCGTGGATCACGCCAGGCATGGCTTCCTGCCCAGGCACAGAGACACGGGCATCCTGGACTCCCTCGGGCGCTTCTTTGGCGGCGACAGGGGTTCGCCCAAGCGGGGCTCAGGCAAGGTGAGCTCTGAGGAGTAGCGGCCGCACGGCTCGTGTGCCCGCTCCGGGTGCAGCAAAGGGGAAGGACAGTCGGCAGGTGAGCCAAGCCCGTGGCGGCGGCCCCGCTGCGGCCTCTTAGCTTGTAGCTGCTGCCCCGGCTGCCGGCTGGCAACGTGCGGGGCCCAGGGGCTGCTTACCTCCTTGCCACCCCCTCCTCCGGCTCTCAAGGGACTGCCACGTGGAGGTGCTCAGGCTGGCAGGGCGCCAGGCGCTGCTGCTCTGGGTGGCATGGGGACGGGGCTGCCGGGAGGGTGCCACCTTCCCAGGGCGTCTGCCTCCCGTGCTGGGGGCCTCCTGGCTGATCCGGCTTCTGCAGCCCCCGCCTCTGGGTTCAACTGTGGGTCATGCTGATTTTTTCTTGGCGTCCATGCTGTGGCTTCTGTTACTTTGCAACAATTACACGATTGAAGATTTTTTGAAGAAATCTGAAATTTTAATTCGCCTGAGCAAACTTTCTCTTTTGTCTGAGTCGCTTGAGGAAGGGGTGGAGTGTGTCTTGAATCAAACAGTATTGCTTTGTTAGTCCATTAATTTGAATGTAGAATCTGTGAGGTTTCATTATTTGAATGTTCTGTAGCTCAAAATTGTATCACAAGAAAAAACGTTCCTGTTTGGGTCCAGTTTCCGACAGTGGCTTCTGGAGTCGATGGGGAATAGGTCACCTGTGGCTGATGAAGAGTCAGTCCCGAGTGGCATCTGATGGCAAATACATGGCATGCATGGCCCGTGTCTTTTTAGGCTGGTGGATAGCTGGTAATTTTGGAAGGAGAGAGGTTTTCCAAAGAAGGCCCTGCTCTTGGGCCTCCTCACCAAGACCTAGGATGGGCTCTTCTGGCTGCATTTTGTGCTTATTCTGAAAGGCCACTGCGGATGTGAGAGGTTTTGAGCAAAGGCCGAAGCCAAGGGCCGTTGCCATGGTAATAGAGGAGCGTAAAAACCCCGGGGAGACTTAGGAGGTCAGGAGTTTCTAGAAGTTGCTTTAGTCCCTGACCATGTTCCTGGAATCCCTGACAATCACGAAATGGTTACAGACCAACATGAGTGTCAGCGTGGCCTCTTGTGAGGGTTTCAGAGAGCCTGGTTGCAGGCCCTGGGCTGCTCCAGCCGCGGTCTCTTATGTGACACTATTCAGGACTTTTTGTGACTAACACCTGCTCTAAAGAGCCAAGGGAATGCATTTGCTGGTTCGTCCCTTCTGTATGCATTTGTAGGCTTCCGCATTTCCTGCCGGGCAGCCCTCCCTCGGCCTGGACGTGGGGACCTTGAACCTGTTTCTCAGGCTAATTTCAGTCTGAGGCGCTCTGCAAGCTCAGCCCTCAGAGCACAGGAGGCTCTAGGCCACCCTAGGGGTCTTGCTCTCGGGCTGAGCGCCCTGTGCATGTGGCATCGCCAGCTTTGAGAACTTGGGCTCTTCTACTTAACTCAAGTAACAGGAAAAATGTATTTAAACTGTGCAAAAAAGATTAAATAGCTGGATAGGACGTTATAAAACAAGCTTCATTTCAGTGGTAATGGTTTAAGTGAAAATGGTGAAAGCATTTAATCATTATGACTTTCTCAAAATAGAGACCTACATACATGTTTTTCTTCCTTCATGTAGAATTACCACCTGCTTTAAGTCTCCTGTACTCTTCAATAGATTCAAAGAAAAGAGCCTCCTAAGTATGCATCCTCTTTGCAAAATAGTGTTGCTGGATTATCAAAGATTTAGAGAAATCAAAATATTTTCCTAGCATGTTTAAAAATAAAAACAATGTTGAAATAATTGTTTTAGCATTTTTGAAGTATCAGCTCTGTTCAGTACTGAATGCCAAATAAAGATGTAAAATGAGCAGCCTCGCCCTTTGATGCCAAAGCTCTCGCTGAGTTTGCGTGTCTGTACACAGCTGCTTAGTGCCAGCAGGCCCCCGGTACATCCCTGCGGGGCCTTTGCTGATTCAGTGTTTGTTCAGTTCTCCTGGTGAAGGTGGTGTCCTTGTTTTCTTCTAAGCACTGCAGACGGGAGCTTGGTGCTCCAGGGGTACCCTGTGGTCCTGGAAGCCTGGGGCATCTGCCAGTGTGTCTGCTGAGGGCCCGTTCTGGTCTGGGTTTGGGTTTTCTGTGTAAAGTACACAAGACAGTGCCACGCACACAGGCCTCAGTAGCAGCCTCTCTGCCTGGCATGCTTTTTGGGGAAAGCAGTTTCGCTGCCTATCTGTCCAGAGGAGGTTTCTCACAGTAGGATTATGCAGGACTGCATGGCTGGCCCCGGGAAGGGGACCGTTTGTCCTGGGCCCCGCCCCTGAGGTCCTGGGGGTCCCCGAGGGCCATGGGCGTTGCTGCCACCCCCAGTCCCAGGAATGCACTACCACCACCCACACTTGTGTGGCTGGGGAGCTGACATTCAAGGAAAGTGCATTAGAAATTCCTTGAGGAGGCATATTCTTTTGAGAGCCATAAATGAAAAGCGCATTCATGGACAACATGCTCCTTTGTCACAGGAGGAAAGAAAGAGGGGCTCTGTTACTGCCTTTCAGGAACGGGTTTCCAGTTCCCTGGAATGCGGGCCTTGTGAGGAATGGGCATTTAGGAGGGAGAGGAGAGGGCACTTGGTCTGCTTCCGAAGGGTGGCTCTGAGCCGCCGCTCCCCGTCTGTCCCCGGGCTGCTCCCACACCCGTGTCCGCGGCTGCTGCGGCCTAACCAGCCAGGCCGGGAGCCGGGGAACCATTCTCATTCCTTCTTATGGAAGAAGTGATAAGGTTTTAGGAAATAACCAAGCTTGGCGCAGTGACAGAACACGGGGCAGTTCTCAGGTAATTCTCCGGGTCAGTGTAGAGTTTTTCCAAGCTGGTTTCTAGAGTGATGATTTTAACTGTTCTTCTCAATTTTCAATCAAAGCCCCATTTCTAGCCAGCTATTCTCAGCATTCTGTTATTTCTGGTTCAGTATTCCTTCCAATTTTGACTGTATGGGATAAGAACCATTTCTGTCATTCAGCGCCGTGGGGTGTAATCAATCTTACAAATGAATCACAATGTTCTGTTTCCTGATTCTTTTTTATTGCATTTCAATTTCATGTAACATTTTAGCGCTATGGTAACTCAATCCTTCATTGTTAACATGCAGTCCCAGCTTTGTAGCTGTATTCTGTCATCTGTGGGGAGTGGGAGTGCAGCGCTTGAAGCAGCTTGCAGGACGCAGCGGGCAGCTTGGAGGGGGGCATCTACCCCGCGGGGCTGTGTGGCCCGAGTCAGTGGCTGGAGGAGGCACAGAGCCCCACTTCATGCAGCAGAGGGTGCCTTTGCCCACAGTACGAGCTGTGCCCACAGGACCAAATTGAAACCCCCTGAAGTCTACACTGGCAACCATCCAGCCATTGTGCATCTGTTGGCCAAGAGTTTTGGCCAGAGATCTTTCTAGAGAAAACCCAAGTATGGTAGGTGTGCTTATTTCTGACCCAAACAAATCCTTTTTTGAGATTTCCTATAGGAATTTCTGAAGCATCCTTGCCTTTATCAGCCGCTGACAGCGCTCTCCATGGCTCAGTCCCAGCTGTTTGCTGCGTCCTCCTGCCGCCCCCAGACGCTGGGTTGTCACTGTCGTAGACAGGCAATAGTTCACTTAGGCGGCTGTGACCCTGTGTCGAGGGCCCCTTTGCTGCGTCCTCTGTACGGGGGCACGTTGTAAATCACATGATGTATTTAGTGGTGACTGTGCTCCAATCTGATTTTGTGACAAACGTTGGCTTTATATGTAGCCCCTCCTTCCCAAGTGTCGATTAAACATTCCGACAGACCGAGGCTGGTGTGCTGATTGCACGTGGATTTTCTAAGGTGCCTTTTCTGGTGTCCCTCCCTTACCTGGTGGTTTGTTAGTGGCATTTCCTGGGGCTCCTGATGCGGCAACCCAGCTGAGCCCAGGGTGCATGCCTGCCACTCCCACATGCAGGGCACATTCCTCCCTGGCCCGCTTGCACACAGAAGACATGCCACACAGGTCTCCCTGACTGGGGGTGCCCCAGGCTCTCTGCCTCGACTCTGATGGCTGCGGTGTTTCCTTCAAAGCTGTGGCCACAAATGCCGGGAGTCTGGGAGGGGTGCCTGGGACCACGGGTGCCCTCGAGACCCCTAGGGCACAGGCAGCCACCACTTCCTGAGGCTGAGGGGAGGGGCCCCGGGAAGGGCCAGCGTGGGCCCCTGACTGGCAGGGAAAGCCGACCAGGGAGTCTCAGGCCGCCTCAGCCCCCCACAGCCGGCCACCAGCAGCCCTCTGTGCTAACTCAGCCCGCGCCAGGTTTCCATCATCTCCCACCACCTTTCGGTAAAAGGTGATGCATTCTGAGGGGCTGACGGGGGCCCGGCGACCTCTGAGGGGGGTCCTCCTCCACGGGACCTGAGCCTCAGGGTTCAGCACGCCCACAGCCAGGAAGCTGCAGACCCTGCGGCCACACACCCCTGGCGTGCCCGTGGGTCTGTGCGCAGCAGGTGCCCTGAAATCAACCGCTCTGCACACGGTGGTGAGTGGGGGGACTCTAAAAAAGTGAGCCCTTCGAGGGCCCGTAACCATGAGCCTGGCCATTGCAGTTTTGGAGAGGCCCCTCCTGCAGACCCCAGCCCTTGTAGGGTAACCCTCCTGACTGAGAACACCCAGACTGTTGGGGTGACCCTCCCAACTGTAGACACCAGTCCCTATTGGGTGACCCTGCCCACTGCATGGTGCCCTCCCCACTCCTCTGCAGAGTCCCTGCCCTCTGGGGAAGGGCCAGCGTGGGGCCAGTGTGGGGAAGGGACAGGCGGCCAGCTGGTCCTCCTTGGGCTGCCTGAGGCCAGGCTGGGGCTGGGGCCTGCCAGCCGAGTGGCTCCCTGGCCGTGAGCTCAGCGCCACTCCGCCCACCCAGCCTCTGTGTACCCACACTGCACGGCCAGCACGGGGCTGTGGTGCCGAGCCCAGAGCCCTGGAGATCTCAGGTGGCCCTCTTCCATAAGAGGGGACATTGTCTTGAACAGAGGAAAAGAAATTAGAAAATTCTACTTCACCTTCTGACCAAGGGTGCAAAGGGACTCGCCAATATGCCACCATTTGAGGGGTGTGACTCCCTGTGGGGACAGCAGCCTATCGAGGCAGAGACCCCCAGAGGCCCGACCACTGAGATACTCAAAATGAATGCACGACTGTCTTGGTCTTCAAGTGCCCAACACTGTGATCACCGCCACTGGGGCTCGTTGCCGGGACAGAAATAGCCTCTAGGGTGGCCAGGATGGAGCACAGGGTGCACAGGTGGGCACCCCACAGATCTGCCTGTGGGATCCTGGTGTGTCCACTTCCAGTAATGTTTCTAGGCCACAGTGAAAACACCTCCTCCTGTGTCACAGCTACTGGTTTTGCCATGTGTGACCACTGTTCACTGTTTTTAAAAAATCTACTTCATCTGTAGGCAACGTAAGACATCCCTTGAAGTCTGTTCTATTGACTGTATCTCTTGGCCTCTGTAAGGGGCTCCCTCTCTGCCTCCCTCCTTCTCGCTCTCTCTCTCGCCATTTCCCTGTGCACAGTATAAAGGCAGGAACTTCCTGCAGGCCATTTACTTCGTCCTGTGATGATAATCTCTCACCCACATAATTGATATGGCAGGTGCCATCTTACAGTTAATAGAATAGAGAAAACACACTAAATTACGAGCAAATATTCTTCGGGAAGATTTACAACAAGGGCGCGTAGCTCAGGTCAAGGAATAATAAGTTCCTATTAAATCAAGTCCCGTAGGTCATCAAGAGCAACGAAGCACATCCGTGAGAAAGTGACTCCAGACAGTTGGCTGGAGGGATTTTGAACTCTGCCAACCATAAAATTATTTGGTTCCGTAGAAACTGAAGAGGCCCCACATGACAGCCACAGTGAACTGCCGAGCAGGAATGATGTCTACCCATAAATCCGAAACAGAAGCTAACACTTTCTATAAAAGAGAAAAACCACAAATAAAACTGAGTGTAAAATGTCTTTACCCCATTAAAGACTCGAGGAAGCCCACTTCTCCTTGGAGGAAAGATGCTCTTTCCTTTCTCTCTTAGAAATCTTACACATCTGGTGACTGATACGGTTCTAAGAAAACTTGGTCACCTAATTAGATGCAGGGCCCCGGAAGGCTCTAAAGGAAAGAATCCGTCCCTGACCTTTCTCTCTCCTTTTCGTGATGCGCGTCCACCTGCAGTCCTGGGGGCACCTGCCCACTGCCTCCTTTCCTGGGGCCCCTTGACCCCGTGGCCTCCCTCTCCCTGGCCCCTCCCCCCTCCATCCTCACGCCCGGGCTCTCACCAAGCCCTGCCAGGAGGGCATCTGCCAGGGGACTCAAACGGCCACTCTGTGTCCCTCTGGCAGGTACCCTGGCTCACGCAGAGCAGGAGCCCTCTGCCCTCTCATGCCCGCAGCAAGCCCGGGCTGTGCAACATGTACAAGGTAAGATGTGCCCCCCCCCCAGGTCCCTCCTGAGGCCCCGCTGTGAGCCCGAGGTCACACGGGCCACAGCCGGCCCGACGGCGTGGGGCACGGTGCAGGGCAGCTCCTGCAGGGAGGCCAGCAAGGAAAATGAGGACCAGCAAGTCCTCCAGAAGGCCACGGGCAAGCGCTTTCCGTGTGGGCTCCCACGTGGACAGCGGGCAGGCCTGGCCACGGGTCAGGGCATGGACAGTCCCCGAGTCAGCCGGCCGCGGGTGCCACGGGCACCACAGCGCAGAGAGCTGGCAGCCCTGAGGCGCTGACGGCCTGTTGCTCTCGTCTGTGATGGTCAGAGCATAGCAGATACTGAGCGCTCACCGAATCCCACCCGACTTAAACTGCACAACGCGTGCCCTTCAGAAGCCCTTGGTGGTGCCCTTGCCCTACCCCCAGCCTTGCTGAGCCTCCCTGGATGCCGTGTGAGCACTGCCACCTGTCCTGTGTTCCCCTGTGGCGGCTGTGCTCCCGGGGCAGCGGGACAGGGAGGCCGGTCCACTGGGCCACTAGGGGCAGCACGCCGCACCCCGAGTTTCTGTAGCCCCGAGCCTGTTTCTGTTGGTGCTGCATGCTATGCAAAGCCTCGTTTAGTGGCTTCTTGGCCAGAGCAAACAGCCGTCCCCGGGTGTCCTCAAGGCCCGTGCCTGCCCCAGGAGGCACAGATTCGGGGACACTCAGGAGTGGAGACACGGGCTGGGCAAAGTCACACTTCGATCCTGCAGCAAGGGATGTGTGGCGTGGTGGTGAGCAGGGCGGGCAGGGCGCCTGGTCATGGACACCTGGACTTGCTCCCGTCACCCTGAAAGCACACGGTCACCACCCTGCCCCTCCTCTGTTCCTCTGCGGACACGTTGCCATCAGAAGCAGACCCACTCTGCAGAGACCGTGCCAGAATCCTGGGATGCCAAGTAGCCTGCAGTAACTGGATGTCAGAAAGCTTTCAACAAAGCATTTGCCTTTTCTCTTTTAAAACATCGTTGGCTGAGGAAAAGCGCGGCCCTTTTCTCCACATCTTTATCCAGACTGCCCTGTGTGCTTGTGAAATCCGGGCCGAAACGGACAAGCACTCTGCATGCCACCTGTGTGCGGCTGCTGGCATTTCACCCCCAGTGGCCACATCATAGTGCACAGGACCCACAGCTGCTGCCAGTAGAGGGTTCTCTGCATTTATGATTTGTTCATTATGGAAACTCCTTCCAGTCCAGCTAGGACTGGATCGGCTTGCAGAAAACAACACTAGATAATGACAAAACCTGTGAAGAAATGCGAGGTGGGCCTGCAGAGGAGACAGAGGCCCCCGGACAGGCAGGAGCCTGAACCCGCTCACAGAGACACAGCCTGCACCGTCCGGTGCACAGCTCAGGCCCAGGACAGACTCCCTCCCCCTCAGCTCAGAAACTTCAAAGGTGTGGCTGCCTGATGCCCAGCCGACCTGCACCCTGACCTTCTGGGGCATGTGCTTCTCTGTCTCTCTCTGCAAATACCCCAGGAAGGTAAGAGACCCCCCAGCTGTGACATGAGAGGTGACACTCAAGGAGCAGAGTGGTTCCAGGGCTGCCGCTGGTCCTCAGGAACGAGACCCCCAGCCCGGAGCCGCCTGGCTCAGGAGACCGAGCATGTCCCTTAGAGCTGTCCTTCAAGGGGCGTGACCTGGCGATGGACGGTGGGAGAGGAATGTGCTGGGACGAGAACAACATTCAACTTGGGACCCAGGGACACAGTGGAGAAGCCAGACGGCAGGGGAGGACCTGAGAAACACGCACATGGGAAGAGCACCCCGTCTTCTTGCAGTCGCAGCCACAGCCACCATGGCGCCAGCATCCCCAAGCCCACAGGGTGGGGGCAGCACAAGCACCGGTCCTGCCTGCACCGTGTCCAGGTCTCGCCCAGGCCCCAGGTCAGGCAGCAAGGGAAGTGCCCGCTCTCACCGCCCTCCCTGGTTCCTCTGCAGGGGGGTCACAGGGGCCTGGCTGCTGGAGAGCTTGGGATGCCACATGTGCCCAAACACTCCAGCTCTGACCACACCAGCCGCCCGTCCCACGGTGGGTGCACTGCAGCCCATGGAGCCCAGTCCTGCCCATTGCAGGAAGGCACAGCCAGAACCAGAGACACCCGTCCTGGGTCCAGCGCCAGCACCTCGCCCGCCGCCCTTGCCCTGCCTGTGCCCTCCCCACCTGTGGAGCAGCAGCACAGCCACCCGACCTTCCATCCTGCCGACATCGGGGCTCCCGTGCCAACCGACAGAAACACAGAGGCCCGTGTGAATCAGCCGTCGGCCCTGCCCCTCCACCCCATTCTGGGGTGACACGCGGTGCCCCGTGCAGCCCTGGAAGGCCCGGGTCTCCCATCTGCGACTCAGCAGCCCTGGCTGCAGCCACTGGCTTCTGCTCCCAGGCCTGTTTCCTCAACTGTCAAGCAAAGCATCAGGGTCAGTGGTCCCGAATGTTCCATTGAAGGTCATGACCCTTCTGCTTTCCTCTCTGCAACGACGGCGTGAATGCCCTGCACCTCCTCTGTGGGGACGGCTCTGCTTTCATGCCAAAGCCAAGCAGCGGCTGGGATCAGGCCCCTTGGCAATGACAGAATGATGCTCCGTGAATCACGGGCACAAGGCCGGTGTGTCCTTGTGGAACGGCCTGTGGTCACACAGCTCTCACCAGCCCAGGGTAGTCAGCAGAGTATCTGGGCAACTCCTTGTGCATCAGGCTGATAAGATGTTCTGCTCCCGAGAAGCCCAGCCTCAAGTGTCCAGGGCGCCGCCCACACATGAAGGCTGTCCAGAGATGGCCCTGGTCCTGCAGCTCCAGATGTTCTGAGTCATATTTCTTCATAATTTGCCAAATAAAAGGCCCTGACCAGCGTTGAGTAGTTTTGAAGGCTGCGCATTTTGGTGGGCCCTGTAGACCCAGCCGTGGGCACCCAGTGCAGACGGCGCCCCATCAGGACTGAGCTGGCTTGTGTGGGAGGCCGTCTGGCTGCCCCCGGGCCTCGCTTTCCCGGAATGGGCAGGTCTGTCCCCTGGGGCTGCTCCCTGGGCAGCTGCGCCCTGGCTCATGGCCTCCCCCTGCTGGAAAGCTTGCTGTTATTCGGCTTTTCCCTGCAAAGAAAAACTTTCCAGACCCTCCCCACCCCCACCCCTGTCCCTAAAACTGCTTGCCCACAATTTGTGCAAGGAGGCAATTCAGTTCCAAGCCAAGAAAAGGCCTCCTGGGTTTTGTGTGTGCCCTTGCCTCTATTAGGGAGTTTGCTTGGTGTCCATGCTGCAGGGCCCTACACACTTTGCACACACTGAGGCCTTTAAAAGTGGCAAAGTGAAAAAATCAGAGCGGTTAAAGTCGGCGCTCAACCCTGAGCCCCATGGTCTGGAAGGAGAGCAAGGAGCTGGGCCCCCACCAGCTCAGCAGCCCTGAGCTTGGGAAGGTGGGGGCGGCCTTCCCTGCAGGGCAGCGGTCAGGCCCCCGAGCCCTGAGCCCTCATTCCCTGAGACGAGGAGCCGATCGGCTGCTTATCTGAGAAGCAGTGGAGACACTCTGGCCACCGCAGACACACCCGCTCCTGACGCGGCCCGCAAGGCAGGCTGCACACCAGGCGCCAACCTAGGACCAGACTGAGACCTGCAGGTGGAAAGAGCATGTCTGTGAGCCTCACCCATCAGCTCTGACAGGGCCACGGGGCCCCCGCACTGCCTTCTCCTGGTCGCCTCCTCCTGCCGGGACAGAGATTTGGAAACCAGGCAGCCACAGTGCCCCTGTGAGATTAAACCCCAGGTCAGAGAAGCAGTCATCGCGGGCATCGCCGCCTGGCAGGCTCTGGGCTGGGGCCCTGCACTCCTTCTGTGCCCAAGGTGACAGTCTTGTGCCCGTGATTCACGGAGCATCATTCTGTCATTGCCAAGGGGCCTGATCCCAGCCGCTGCTTGGCCTTGGCATGAAAGCAGAGCCGTCCCCACAGAGGAGGTGCAGGGCATTCACACCGTCGTTGCAGAGAGGAAAGCAGAGGACAAGGTCCCCGCGGAGTCTTGGACAGCAGCATCCGCCTCTCTGGCTGCAGATCCGCAGTCTGCCCACAGCAGGAACCCTCGAGCTTGGAAACCGGTCCCTCTAGTCACAGGGCAAAGTGACAGCCCCACCCGAGCAGAACCAGGGACAACGTGAAGGGCGCACAGCGCTGTGGCCTGCAGTCTCCGCACCCGCCCGTGTCCACATCCCCCAGGATCTGAGGAGAGGCCGTTGCCGGAACAGCCACCGGGTGGCCCGGGCCTCCATCTAGATCACAAGCTGGCCTGTGAATTAATCTTTCCAGGGAAGAGCCTGCCGTTGGTGACCCACAGGTGGCTCCAGGGAAAGAAAGGCCATGTCTGTCATCATACCCACTCCGGTCGGGGACTCAGGAGCACACATACTGTCCAGCTTACAGAGGGTGAAAACACAGGGCAAACGGCACGTTCGCTCAGACAGAAAGAACCGGCCCCAGCCTGACGCCCGAGGCACATCAGAAGCTGTCTGAGCAGAAATGGCTTAAGTGCTTCCTCCGAAAAAAATTAACAAAACTAGGAGCAAGGCCGAGTGGCCGGGAGGGTGACAACGAGGGATCCCCTGGTCGAGAGGGTTCTGGGAATGGCCAGAGCATCGTCGGGGTGGGGGTGTGGGGACTGAGGATGCCACCTTGGACTCATGCCAAGCGTGCCTGGATCTGCCCTGAGAGGAACTTCAGAGCTCAGACAGCTCGCAGCCGGATGTGCCTGTTCACACCCGTACTGCCAACCTGGGGCGCACACGCTGTGCTCGGGAATACTAATTTTACTGGCGCCTCATTCAGCGCCTGGGCCGGCCGCGCAGAGGACAGCACGGCCCTGTCCCCTGACCTTCTGGGTTTACAGGAGGGAGGGGGCCACTCATGCAGCCACCTCTCTCAGGAAGTCCTTGAGGATGAGTCCCGAAGCGAGATTTCCGAGGCATGTCAGG